ACCGTTTGGTAATAAGAACGGCACTTAATATATGCCGCATCACTCAGTAATGCGCCCAAATAAACCTGGTACAGTTCACGTCATTTTCGACTGTTCTAGCACCTTCCAAGGTACTTCCTTAAACCAAAAGTTATTGAAAGGGCCGGACCTGGTGAACAGTTTAGTCGGCGTTTTGCTGGGGTTCAGAATGGGCACCGTGTCAGTGGTTGCAGGTACTGAAGCTATGTTTCACCAGGCACTGGTGACCCAGAAAGCTGAAGACTACCTAAGGTTTCTATGGTGGCCAAAGTGTCAGTTACACGAATCACCTAAAGTTTTCCATATGACGGTCCGTCCATTAGGTGCAACATCGTCATCATGTTGCGCATTATTCGCACATCAATGAACAACCGAAGACTGAAAGATGGAGTATCCCGATTCGACACTGGCGCTGATACAACACGGATTTTCGTTGTCGGTTGCCTGTTCAACTGTCGTAGCCGGAACGAAGCTGGCCGTCTTATTACGAATTGGGACGCAACTGCATCTAAGGCTGGATTACACTTAAGGAAATGCAAATGTAACGACTGTCAAATTGCGCGAAATCACAAGGAATCCGGCATTCAACGAATCGGTTCAATTAACTCTGGGATTGAAGTGAAATTTGTCTAATGATTACATAACTGTTAGCCTAACCAAGTTCGAAGGGGACTGCAACCGAAGATCGATTTTATCTTTTGCCACTTCGATATAGTTTTAGTAGCCACAGTACTGTTGCGTGCTAAGCAACTATTGCAATCATTCGCACGAAAAGGACTTAGTTGGAATACGCAGGTAGACGGATCATAACGAGAAGAATGGTATCGTTTTTCAGGAGACGCCCAATAACTTGAACGTTCGAGGATTTCCCGGTATATCAGACCAACGCTATTCACTGACGACGATGTACAACTGCATTGTTTCTAACATGCTTCGGAAGATGGGTACGGAGCGGTCATTTACATTAAGATCGTCTATCGAAAAAATCTAATTTAGTCTACCCTCATTATGGGAAACTCGCGTGTTTCGTGGACAAGAGCAATTTCAACACTACAATTGGAATTAACAGGGACCGTGCTTACCCTCCGGTTAGTCGTTCTAGTAGTTCTTGAGTTGTAGTTAGAGAAATCACCGACATTTTGACCAGACTCGATGGTGGTTCTACAGCTTATTAGTAATACGACCAAAAGGTTCACAACTTTCGTTCCGAACAGGCTATCCGAGGTGTATCAGTTGAGGTACGTCGAAACATAGCTGAACCCTGCAGACATAGCCTCTCTTGAATTGCGAGTGAATGATGAAGTACTTATGAAAAAGTGGTTTGACGGGTCTGCTTCGCTACGTCTCGAAGAAGAGCATTGGCCCAAGGCACCGGAACGTTTGTCTGAAATTTCGAACGAGCGGTTGAAGAAAGAAAATGTCGTCAACTGTACTCTGTTAACCAACACGTGGCTAGATAGTCTCACAAGATGCGATAGCTGGGTCAAGCTGAAACGACCTGTGGCCATCCTGCTCACGTTTAAGCGGCATTTGATGAAAAGCTGCGGAAGATGTCCAAGTTATCCAACCGAGGTTCGTTTGACGTTGTCCGAACATAACGAGCCGGGAACAGAAGTGGTGCGAAATGTACAACAACTCTTCTTTGCGGATGAGGTTAAGGTAGTGAAAAGGAATCCATCAAACGTAGCAGTCAGGTGCTTTAAAGGTTCGAATTACTCGTTGAAGAGGCTGTGTCCATGCTTGCATGACGATATTCTACGAGTGGGCGGTAGATTGAATGTTTCATCACTGCCGTATGACGGTAGACATCCGATCCTGCTTCCCGCCCAACATTTTGTGACCAGGCTGATTATTTTAGATTGGAATGAAAGAAATGGACATGTCGGAGCATCACAAGTTCTTTCTAAATTGCTTCAGCGCTATTGGATCTTAAGCAGTGTTTCCGCACTTTGCAAAACCCTGTGGGATTGCGCACTCTGTAAGATATGGAAGTTTTGGTCCTTCTCTCATCGATGACCGTTGCATAGCATATCAGCCAGCTTATACCGCGGTCGGCGTCGACTATTTCGGACCATTATTGGTAAAAGAAAAACGAACAACCTGAAGCCATATGGCTGTATCTTCACTTGTCTCCCAGTTAGAACCGTGCATATCGAAATAACGCACGCTATGGAGACAGACTCATTTTTGTACGCTTTTTCAAGACTTGTATCGCGACGGGAAATAGCACTGAGAGTGTATGGCGATAACGGACAGAAGTTCCGGAGAGCTGAAGGTGAATTGAATTATTCGATCTTGAAACCATGATCATATGCACCAGATTTTGAACAAAAGAAGTTACCAATGGATCTTCAGTCATGCTTACGCGACTCATTGTGGCGGTACGTGGTAACGCGTGATCCGATTAACCCGAATGATAGTGATACTTGGTAAGCAGCTTATCAACGACGAAATTCTTCAGGCAACGGTGGTTGAGGTAGAAAGAATACAATCACAGACCCGTGATACTCATTCCCAGCCATCCCGATGAATTACGCACTATATAACCCAGTTAATTGTTAACTTTAACATCTGACAAGGTCCTGGACCACGAGCAGACAGCTTCCCAAACGACTGGCAAGACACTGGCGTCAGATGCAGCATCTGTCCGACTAATTTAGGAAAGATGGTTATTGTGTTATTTACCGACTCTACAGGCTCGAAAAAAGTGGCATGCGGAGAGGCGCGGCTTAACCACAGGTGATTTAGGTTTAGTTTCCGAAGTACGCACACCAAGAGGTCTGTGGCCAAAGGGCATAATCGAAGAGGCGAAAACTGGGTGCGACGGACTGGTTCGGGTACTCCTTGTACGTAAGAACAAGGGAAGGTTTCGCAGAGATATCTGGCAAGTACGCCTACTAGATATGATTTTAAATGAGGCGGATGATCCGGAACAAAACGATGGGTAAATCGGGGGGATATGAATTCCTACTTCACCTGCCTAACTGATACTGTGCAATTCTGATTTCTTGGTGTGACTTTACCACTATCTATTTATAAGTAGTACAGTTTTCTTCACATTTGTAACCACGATAATTGGGCAGTTGCTAGCATTGATCATATTCACAATCAATTAACTGTACTGTAGTTTAGTTCACTTAGTCTTTATTATGTGACTCTTCATTATTTCCTGACAAGGATGTGCAAGGCTCAGACATTCTAACACACTGTTTTAATGCACCACTTAATACGTCATCGAATGAGCGCGGACTGCCCTAACTGACCACGTGGAATTATAGTTGTATCTAATTACGAGTCTGTTCACCTATGTGTAAGTTATGCGTTTCTATTTACTTCATTATCATGTATGGAGAACCACGGTCAATTCAGTGCAATTTATTCTGCCCACCGCCCTTCATTCTCCCAGCCCAGACCGTGCGTTTAGATAGGTGTCGTCAGCTTGCGTTTAAACAGTCCTTTCTGCAGTAACAGAAACAACCGTCAAGAAAACGGGTTAGTTCACGCCCGTTGTGACATGGAGCATTGCCATGCATGACAATGAAGTCTCCTGTTCCTGTAAATCCGTCTTTATTTGCCTATTCGCGCAGCTGAGGGATCAATTGGTGCTCTACTAGTGTTCTGTACTGCTGCTGGTTCATGTTACCATGGACAATGTAGAGACGACCGGTTGCTTAGATGCTTCATAACACTGATTGTGATGCTTGACTCGTTGAACGAAACAGTCTTCCCTCATCTGTTCTCCAGGTACTCGCCTTACCTAGAAAGATTGCTGGTCAGAACACCGCATGATACACTCATCGCTAAAACCACCTAAAATATAAGAGAAAAGATGTTGGAAATACCCAAGCAATGTAGGCAAATTTTTCTCAAAAATCCTTATAAAAATAAAGCTTTTGCTTCTTACCCGCTCCCAGTCTTCTATTGATAGTTTGTCAAGCTCTTTGGCGCATTCGTCTTTTTCTTTTATTTATTTGGTCAACTTTTGCGTCCCCATAGGTCGGCAATCTCGAAGTACAGAATTCGAAAGTTGTCTTCTTACAGTTCTGGAACACTACAACACCATGCTTTGCTAACCTCCCTACACTTAAATGCGTTGGTCTGCAGTTCCCAATACAACGCAACTAGCCTACAGTCTACTCCTTGACCTACCTGCAGTCACCTCGCCAAAGATAGCACGTGCTACGTGAGCAACCTAGCCAAAGATCGATAGCCCCGGCAGCCTAGACAAGTGCATGAGGGGTTTGCATAAGGGCATTTACTGGTGTCTGGTAAAGTGCATGCAAGGGTCAAATTCTAAGTCGCTGTATCATACCTGTCACGTGCTTGGGCCCTTCTTAATCCGACCTTGAAGCTGAGCTTCATTACAGCTGAATCCAGGTAGACATGCCGTAAGTCAGCATCAGTGGATCACGTCTGCCACCGTGTCCCTTTGCTTGGTTGTGGGCTTGTTCGAAGATCACCAGTGCCGCAGTGCAGGCATGCGCTCAGTGATGTGCTTTTCAAGCTATTTGATCAGGAGGACTCCGACTGAATCAACGGATATCTTGGTTAGAAAACAGTATCGACTGCTTAGTGTTTGCGTGAAACTTCTCCGGGCCGACCCTCGTGTAGGTTATCGCGTGACTCATGTTGTCACATTATCGCTAGATCGTTTCGTCCGTAGGCATCAGCCCACCTGCAGCAGTTGCGGCTGGGGAGAAACATCCAACCAGCGTTTTTTGGATGTTTGAAGCCGAGTTGATTAGGTCAATTCGTGATAGCTTACGATAGAACTCCAGACGTTCCCTTACTTACGTTTATTGACCATGTTTCCATTGAGCCCGCGGGTTGACAGTAATCATAGTGCGCGACCACTTGTGACCAGACCAAGTTGGCGCAACGTACAGCATGTGTTGGAAATATTTTTATCATCAAAACTGCACTAAAAATGAACTAACTCTACTTTGGGTTTCCAATGCTCATGTTTATTTGCTAATTTGCAGTTGGATTCCAAAATGTGCCAATGCGTTCATTGAGTTACGCAACACATGGTCCCATTTACTCCCGCTGAGGAAGACTGACAATATGGAACCGGTGCGCGCATTTTTTGCTTGCATTGCAGCGTTGATGTCAAAGCAGCTGCGGTCGATAGTGGATCAGTCCTTGAAGGATCTGCTGGAGTTATTGCAAGAGCATCAAGTGAGTGATACTGTACGTGTCATTTGACCTTAATTTGATATAATTTGCAGTTACTTTACTGAGCTACGGAATGCACTGCGCGGTATAATCTCGTTATTTGACTGTAAGGTTACTACGTCTGCTCCCATCACTTTCATTTTTCGAAGGACGGTAACGCGTTCGAAGAGCCGTACGATGAACTGAAATTTCTTCGCCGTCCTCTCCTACTAATTCACCTACGTGTCTCGGATCCCAGGATTGTGTTTTCTCCAACCTCTCGTGAGACCCGTGACTGCATTCTTCGATGTTTCCAAGCAATCACAGATGCAGCCGAAGGTCTTCCAAGGGTTAGTGTTCGTTTGTCCTTCGTGTAACTTAAATAAATCAAATAAATAAATAAAATGTTTTTCTCGATTAAGCGAGGCACGCCTGCACAGGCGTGATCATGTTAAGAGTACAAAATGTGATCAGTTAATGTACAATGGAACAATGGGATTGTCGCATATGTTGATATATGAATGTATGTAAGTGTGCATGTGAGCGTGTTTAGCTGTGTTTATGGAATTTGTAAATGTTTTTCTGCCCTTTCGATCATGCTTGAACGTGTCGCCAGTGCGACATGGATGCTTGATGTTTGTGGATTTGAAGCGGTTGTCTGGGTAAGCAAGGTGACTTTAGTTGGTGGCAAGTCACAACCGCCACTTCGCAGTGTTGTTAAACCGACGTTTGCGGCTTTTTATAGGGAGAACGCTTGCCAGGCGAAAATCCATAAGACCTAGAACACTGCCGCTGAACTGTTTGCTGGAACGGGGTAAACCCGAACCACCCAGCTGGCACCACGAGGGGGTTGTTCGGTTAGGCAGCCACTTAGTGAGTTCAACCAACCAACGGTGAACCAACCCCCGGAAGTAGAGTCTTACTGCCATACAACGAACAGCAGAAGAATTTACTGGGAAGATCCTCCGTTCGACGTGCTTATGTGTTTCTTTGATACCCCATTCGTATAAGGTTTTCAGATAAAGTCACTCTTCATTCAGTAGAATGACTGTCGTTTATGGGGAAAGATCATCCAATAATCTCTAAACGAAACCTAGTTTCTGCACCAGCCAGACTAATACAACCCACGTAAAGCACACGGTCTTCACCTACTTAACATCATTAAAATGACTGGTTTCCATCCAGCAACATCTGGGGACCCTGGGCCGTGCAAGACTAGCTTCTGACCAATTAGTATGGGTTCTGCTTTTCTGCTAGTTCAGCCACACCGTCGAATTACCATCACTCACAGACAGCCTTTAGTGTTACCTGATCTCAACAATTTGCTCCGCCACCGATTTTGTTCTTGTGTGCATCTTATAGGTATAGATAACCGGAACTGGGCGTGGAACCTGAGATGTAGTGGTTCACAGCTGACGCTCTAAGCACCAAGCCATTGAGCACCGGGAGCAATTCTTGACAAGTGACCACGGCGTCAGCCGTCCTCTACTAACTCCATGGTTCCACTACCATCTCGGAGTATTTGCCTGAAGGAATCTGATCGCGGAGCAAACTGATGGGAAGAGCAAGACAGGAAACTCCACTTTGCATCCAGTCCCGGTGCTCAGAATGACTAGGAATTTCTTCTAAGTGAATCGTGATCCAAGTTGAGACCGCTTGCTGTAACCCAGGCACACAACAAGTGCTCCGCAACCCAAGAATAATTAACTTTTCCACATTTGCGTTAGCTAACACAGCCGTCAACCTTACTGTTATGGCTACACGTTATCTGTTCCATTTGGTATAGATTCGGGTTCATAATCATTTACTGAACTTTACTTTTAGCTTTTGCTCATCACATTCTAATAACATAGGCTCTTTCTTGACTTAAACCTAAAATGTAGGTGTGCCCGACCACAGTAAACAGATCTGACCTTTGACTGATGGTTCTCCGTGACACGTTGTCCAATGAGTCCATGTGTTGAGTGTATTTCCAAAGATCATGGTTCAGTTCCTTACGGACTGTCGCAACACATTTAATGCATGAGCGATCATATTTCCCGCTTTTTTGGGAAGTACGGAAAACCGCAGGGGCAGGTGTCTTTGTTCAGTCTGATGGATTATAGTTAGGACCACAAGTGTACGTTTTAACGCTTACCAGTTTCTGGTACAATCTCATTCATTCGAACTATATATTGCACACTGCCCTGTATGAATGATTAACGTGTTTTCTCTTCCCCTGTAATAGGTCGAGGTTGACGTGTTTCCCGAACTTCGAAATCAACCACTTCATTTGCGGTCTGTGTCATTCCGCGAACAATTAGTCATTGAATACACCGACAAGGCGATGACTGTGTTCAGGGCAAATTCTGTGGGCCCGAAAGATTACTTGGAAATTTATAAGCCCTACGGCAATTTGCTTAATAATAAAGCAGAATTGGAACTGCGCAATTTTCTCAAGGATCGTCACACCCTGTTGTCAGTTAAAAAGGTTAGCACACTGACTGGTATAGTACAACTCTATCATGGGCGTCGGGTATCGGCAATTGTTGTGTTCTGTTGAAGTTGCTGCACCGAATTACTATAGATTATTGTGAATGAACGAAGTGGTGCGTAATGGTTCCCGTTAGACGCTGCCACATTCTACCATAGCCACAACGGCACTTTTATGTTGTCGAAAAGTGGATCACACTGAGGTCCCCTTTTTGCACTTCGGCATTACCAGAGATATTGTCAACGAATCCCCCGTCACGGTTACTTCCCTCGCATGCTCCTAGTATTTGTCTCGACACACTGTGGCCTTACACTTTTCATCATCCTGCTTCACTGACTGCGTCGATGACTAAGGTTCTTGGAAAACCCGAACCGAACTGCTATCCATCCGGATTCGAGGTTGTGTGGACCAGGAACGAGCATACTCATAACTCCGGACTAAAGAGACAAAACGACAGCTGTTATGTTGTGATAGTCACAAAGTACAACTCACACGGAAGCTACGGCGCTGGTGACCATGAATGCTTCATTATCCTTCCATCACCAGTGTTCAAACAATCTCGAACGTGACTTAATGGAGCTGTAGGTACTGTATCCTGTAGACGCTTTAAATTCCAAATAAAGGTTCATACATTGTTATGATTACCAGCAAAATCAACATCAGTACATGTCTATTGTAAACGAATGCTTCGCTACTGCACTACCAGGATGACATTGATAATGACAGTTACCATCAGGAGAAAGTGTATCTAGGCTTAAACATAATCTTCTTAAATAAACATTGGCGCGCGAAGCGTCCACCTCTTGCGGGTAACAAACGGCCACGTCCAGTTGGCAATGGTGCAAACATCGGCAGCATTGACGACGCAGCTTCTTTGCGACTTTCTCTGCCGCTGGACGGAATTAACTTTACCCCATAGACCAATCAGCATCGTGCGAAAGTTAAACTGGTAACCCGTCCAGCAAACGACAAGTACCACCTCACTAGTGATATCATTGTACGCCAGAAGTTGATTACTTTCCACTAAGTATTTCCCGTTTTAATTTACCCAACGCAATTGATAACGGCAGCCTTTCACTTAACAACAACCCATAGATGTAACCAACTAATATCTTTAGTTAATCGCTTAATAACGCAATGCACTATCTGGAATGTTCCCTTTGCAGTCATTCCCGCTAACCCTTCTACTTCGTCAGATGAACGACCGTTTAGTTACTGTCTCCAACTTAGGTGTAGCGGCATTTTGCCATCTGTGAAATTCTGCTGACCCACCACCACTTTGCATTTTACAGCCACTCTTCTGATATTTGAACCACAGTTTGTTCTTTTAATGTATTTGCATGTCCGTGTTTATCCCAACCCCATTGTTTTTGAACCGTATGTTTATCTCGTACACTGTGTCTATCGCCGAATCTACGGTCCCGAGGGTTCCTTGATGTTGGCTCCGGAAATGAAAACTGGTTACTCAGATGGCGGTTGAACTGTTCTCTAAGCTTACTAATTTTGTTCCAAAGGTTTCAGCAACAATCGAGATGACACTATCAGTGCGTTGTTGCGTAGCATGTAGTGGCGTGGGAAAACCGCTCTAATAAGTACACCGACCAAACTGTTTATAATGCCATAATTTAACTGGTGGCTTATCTCTGATAAGTTCGCCGCTTGTTGAGGGGGCTACTCTATCCTCTGCACGGCAGTAAGGAGCAACTCAGCGGATTCTGAGCGCCGCATTATCACAGTTAGTAACTTCAATTCAGTTCAGTCGAACGACTTTGATCTGAGCATTGAAGTGCGGTGGATCCAGTTGTCACGACTCACATCGTATTAATAACAACAAATAACAACGGTGGGTCATTGGGGTTGGGTGCGAAGAGTATGTAGAGAAAGCTGAAGTAAAAAGGAAATGCGTTACGCTAATCAGAATGAGACAAAACTTAACAACCAGACGAAAGAAACCGAATGCAGGAACGCTACTGAATGCGTCACTGCGCTGTCTGACAGGGTTTCCAACTATTGGTGTGGACTGTCCCGAGGCCCCCATCCACGAAGACGACACACACCTGCCTGACCAAGTCTCTCAATCAATTTCTTCATGCTTCGACGCAACGTTATGGACTGACCACCCCAAGGTTTCGCTCAACTTGGTGCAGCTACGGCTTATAATGCACGCCGAGGAAGCCGGTCAACGTGCATACAGAGGACATGGCTTAGCCAACGCAAGCGATTCAGAGTTACTAAACACTCGAGGGAGGAACCAGAAGGCTTCTCGCCAAAAACCAACTGACGGACCTCAGTATTGCTCACCCGGTGTTCCCACCAGACGTGAGCAATACTCCGCAAGCACCGGAGGTCAAAGACTGCCAACGGTTTTATTTCTTCGCAACGGACTGGTCAGGTCTTTGATCCATACAGTAAGACCGGCATTACCGCAGTGTTATATACCCTAGCTTTCACTGACAAGCTAATATTCCACCGTCCCCATAAGTTCTTGATCCTCTGGAAAGCCACACGGGTCTTGCTGATACGCCAAGTAACTTGTTCAGTGAAGTGAGCTACTAAGATAAGTGAACTGATCCACCACTTCCAGTGGCTCTTTGGAGATAGCTAACATCGGTGATGTGTCGGCCCAACCCTGCAATAACACTTTACGCTTTGTAGGTGTAAAGTGCATGCCGAAGCGTGCAGCGTTACGCACAAGTCTGTGCCGTAGTGTTTACATTTTCACTGCATCAGATGCGAGAACAGCAATGTCACTCGCATACTCCATGTTTTCAATCGGCCGCCTAGCGGAAGTTTCACTCCGGTAGAGGCCGTAAAAACTGAATCATTCACAGTCCTTTCGATCACAGAGTTGAAGAGGAAAGAAGATATGGGACAATCCTGGTGAACCCCACTTGTCATAGGGAAAACACAGGAGACAGCTTTTTGTACACCCTTACACGGTCTCACGAGTCACGGTAGAGCAGGGCTGTCCTAAGTCCGGCCAGCGTGCCAAATGCGGCCCGCGTTAAGTTTTCAACTGATCCACGACCACATATTGCATTAATAAATTCAGACTTGGACATTTTACGTACATGGGTAATTTTTGTTATTATCTTAACGTCAGACTAAATGTTGCCAGACATCTTTTTACCTTACATAATGTGGCCGTCCTTGCAACAAGTTTGGACACTCTTGCGGTAGAGTAACTTGAGAATGCCAAGGAATTTAGTAGGCACGCCCTTCGTGGATAGGCAGTACCACAAGCTGTCTCGATCAAAAAAGTCGAAGGCGGCTTTCAAGTCAAGAAAAACCATAGTCGGTCGTCTATATGTGTCTCTGCTCTGAAACTTGGCGAAGAGTAAATATGTACTGGATGGAACCACGGCCATGACGGAAGCCAGCCTGGCTTTCAGTGGTTCGGTCCCCACGGGGACCAGTGATTCGTCGAATAATATTACGCTTGAGAGGTTTCGAAGCAATGGAAATCAGGCCAATACCCTGATGATTTTCTCTGACCCCTCTCGAAGATGGGCACAACAGTTGATAGTTGCCAGTCTGGAGACACCTCTCTCTCTTGTTAGAAAGTGAAACAAGTCCAGTCAACAAAGAGTCACCTCCATCTTTCAGCAAAGATGATAGAAGGTCATGGGGTCCAGGAGCCTTATTTTGACTCAGCACGGAAAGCTCATATCGAGTCTCTTCCAAACCGGGCGATGTGGTACCAACCTATTACGTAGGCTCAGGTGATCCAGCAAGCAACAGTGTCGCAGCAGGTCTGCTGAAATGCATCTCAAAATATTCCGTCCAACGGGTTAATCGACGAGGCTGAGAATGGATCAACAGTTAATATTTCTCATCTACTGTCTTGCTAACTGATGACTTTCTCGGACCCGCGTTCTGCATGAGCAACAACAGCACTCGGTTGTTTCCAATAGCATTGGCTTTCTCCATCTCACAGGCCTTTGCAACCCACCAAGATCCGAAGACTTCTTGTCAGACATCGTTTCAGTGATTTACGGGTACCATGAAATTCAGTGCTCATGGAAACCCGTTTAAGCGTTTCGATCAAACTGATCAACACTTCAGAGGTCCATTCACAGTTACAACGTCTTAAGTTGGGTGCACAACAACCGTCAAAGGCATAGTTCATGACCACTTGAGACGATCCCAGTCAGCGTTCGGCTCACCAATCTCATTCATCGCTAACAATTAGTGGGCCAGTTCGCTATAATATTGTCGAACCGCAGATTGCGAGTTTAAGCTACAGGTAAGAAGTTTGAAGAGAGGCGATTTTTCGAAGCGGGAAGAGTGAGCGCCAAGCATGCACGCACTAGCGCACGGTCGAAAACCATGCATGTGCTCTAAATTGACCGACAAGCTTGGACTGATGTGCGCCCCCTGTGGCTGATGGCAATATGGTCGATTTGGGTCCAGCTCATTGAGAAATTTGGTGGGCGCTATTTGACGCGGTTTGAACATTTATGCTGGAAACTAGTAACAGTCACGGCGGTCATTGCCGTTCCCCGTAGCTCAGTGCTCTCAGCCACAGACAGGCAACAGGCGAGTTGCGGGTTCGAGCCCTACAAGGGTCAGATAGAATGCACACTGCTGACGGTTCCCAAAAGGACAATGAACAATAACCAATAATTTATCACGGGATAAAAGCAACTGCTTGTCACCTCCGGTAGGATGGTTGGAGTGCATACAGTGAGATCAAAAGGCATGTGAGTCATCCTTCGAGCGTTTACCTTGATAAATGCATTGATAGAAAACGTCATTGTAAAATAAAAATCGAATGCATGCATACAGAAACACACGGGTGTAGTGATGGTTGACGTAACGCGTGAGAAAAGTAAAATATGGTCGCTCACTTACGTGTCCATGTAACATATGCATCCAATAGAAGGGCATGATTCATGTAATCCACAGTAGCGTAGTGTAGAAAACGAAACGCTGGGAGCTAAGAGCAACATCCAATCCTTTATTTAAAATATCCAAATTAGAGGACGCTACAATTAAGCGAAGGTTCCGGGGTTGGCAAACTCAAAGGAAAATTAAATCCGTCCACACTAGACGGCTATATTGCTTACTTAGTTTCAAACAGTTAATTCTGAGCTTGGTGTTGTGGCTAAGTCTCAGAAAATGGCGGCATACGTAGTTGGACACAGTAGTTGGTACACTGATAAGCGATCGCCGTGCAGACTTCGGTCGCGTCCGCTGAAAGTTCCCAGCAGCTTCAGCCTTTGAGGGTAAGAGTGATTGATTAGGCCCTTGACATTCTTTGTTGCCCCTTCTTATGCCTCTAACGCCTCTAGGTCTCGCTTCAATCAAGGTTTTCAGAGTTGGATGACGTATTCAAGGTGAGGGCACGCGTTTGAATTGCGCGTAATTGAGAAGATTGATGAACCAAATCTGCCGAATGCTCTTCACAGCACGCCGACAGGCTGCTTGTCCCTTTCGCAGCTACCTTAGACTGTTTTGAACACTTGAGGCCACTCTGTACGAGCACACCAAGGCTACGTTCCTAGGAGCTGGTCTGCAGTCCGTGTGCTCTAAGTAAATAGGTGTGGTCATGTCTATGGCGTAGGTGAACCACTCAACGTTTTCTACATTGAATGGTAGGGCATTGTGTATTGACCGAGATCGTGTTAAGATCGCACTGGAGCCCTTCGTGGTTATCCCGTCCTCCGATCGCACGTCATATCTTGATTTCATCCACGAAAAATATGAAACCGGAAGCAATTGATCTCGCTACATCGTTTATGAATACCAAGAATAGTCGAGGTCCTAGCGCTAAACCTTATAGTACACCGCACTCCACATCAATTTCAGCGGACAAGGATTCCCCGACTCTCACGTCCATCCAACATACGTGTAGCACATTGATTATTCAACTCAGGATTGGGTCGTTAATGCCGTAGTTCCGAGGCTTGTGAAGGGGAATTCAATGGTCTAAGTGATGAAACGTATTTGGGTCCAAGTAAATGACATCGATTCCTGCTCCATCATCAACTGCCGCAGTCCAGCTATTACGTGCAATTAATAGTTTAGTAGTAAATGAATGCTTTTGACGAAAGCCATGTTACCCTAGGGCTATTAAGTTGTGACTTTCCAGATACTGCATCAGCGCATCTGCGATGATAGCTGACGATTGTCCCACCTGTTCTAGCAGCGAAATTATGAGGAAAAATGCCGGAGTTACTAAAATCAAGCTCATAAGATTTGCAAACCTGCAAAAGCCACAACAAGTACCCATATTCCAAGGGCCTTAATCAAAGGAACCATTTTGTGATGAGGTAACTAGGGCGAACCGCCATGTTTGCACGGCAATCTGCCCATAGAGGAGGCATACCAATTGTTCATTAGTGACGCTTTCTGTGTGCAGTGGCTGTTGCCGGCCTATGAGCGCAGACAATTGTGTTTTTATGTTGTTAACGTCTTACAGATGATGCTGTCGACTTCAGATTCATCCTTTCTTCTGAACGATGTTGGACTGCTTACAACATGTAACTCAACAGCAGCGGTTTGGTCTTTAGTTTAGGCATGCTCTAAAATGTGCCCCCATCATTACGTACCGCACCAAACTCTTGTTCTCTCTCAGCTGCAATGACTGTTCTCTCATCCTCCATCATAATGGCGTTGATTAATGTGAAAGATTCAGGACTTAAAGCATTCCAACCGGCAGGCACAACTTTTCCCTCAAATTGCACCTGTGACAGTCTGCTTGGAGTACCTTCGGGTCAACCAGAATAAAACTACTCCTCCGGGCTCAACTTGACGTCACATACTCCATTATCAGGTCCTCTCCATGTCCCTACTCCAAGGGCGCGCGTTACTTTTTCAAGTGAAACCAACTGTCTAGCTGTTTCCTCTTCTTGCTTCACTTCACAGAGGAAAGGCAAAGCGTGGCTAAATGATCCAGAGCTGGTGGAACAAGTTAACAAGAGTCTGCAAACAGTGCAGCAGGTTGTCGGCTTCGTTGAACGTTCTCGTTTCCACGTTTGACTACAAACCGCTTTCAACAAATGAATAATCTGTAACCGCTGTTTTTGTTTATAGAAAATCGAGGGATTTCAGGATTTGCGAGCGGAAATCAATATGCTCCGAATCACCGTACCACTTAGCCTGTTCAGTGTGGACTGCAAAAGCGTAAACGAAGAGTTGGCCAATAGAGTATGGAAGCTGCGGGATATCCTCATTTCTTTTGAGCTGGATGAAAACAGAGACGTCAACCGAGGGTAGGTTTGGTTAACTACTTGAGCTTGTCACATCATGCTATCCACCCCTCGCATGCACCTTCGTTTTCACGTTAGTAACACGCAGCGCGCGTGCAATGCTTATCTTAAACGTCTTTTCGTCAACGAAATTTTATACGAACGGCGGCTGGCGGATTAAGAAATCGTTCCACTCCTGTTGTCATGACTCACAGTAGCTTAGAAGAAAAAGAAGAAGAAGAAGTGTATATTCTAGTCTGCGAGCAGCTGAACCCGGGAGGGCCAGATCAAAATGTACAGAAGTGTCGTGCTCATGCATGAGGTTTTAGGGGTTATTTGTCAGGTGTGTTGTAACTGTGGGATTCCAAACAGGCAGATGACAGCACCCGCAATGTGAGTGCTAGGTTACAGTTTGTCTTTTGTGTGAGTTTGCGTTTTCCAACCACCACACAGCTTACCGAAGCACATGTTCATTTTCTTCCTCCAGATGGCAAAAGCAGCTAAGCCAATCTCCCGATAAATGTGTAAATAGAGCAGAAGAATTAGGTTAAACGAGGGAAATAAAACAAATGCTTGTGATAACGAAAGGCGAAACATCGTAAGTCTAGACATAAATTTTTATACGGTAAGCGTAGTATAATGCAAGTAAATAAAGCAATTCTTTAAGCATGCGCAAGATACGCAGTATCCCATTTACACATTAAATCAGTGAGTGGCCTTGGTGGGCGACCGAGCGGATTGGACTACCAGCCTAAAGAGCTTCTATGGCGAAAAATGGGGAAAAAGTAAAACCAAACATGCCAAACGCAGCAAACAGGCGGTGTTTTACCTTATAATGATGAAATAAACGCGATATCCAAAAAGGTTTGCAAGGTACGAAAAACTGCGCATAACGCCCTACGTTACTTTTCGCTAAACTCGCGGTTTTGCTTTCCAAGCAGACCGCGAAAAGAAGAAAGAAAGACATGTAAAACAGTGCGGAGATAAAAGTGCGGAGAGATAAAAGAGTAGAGTTGAGATGGATAACTATGAGGGGTTCCGGGAGGTCTCAGACTGTCAATGTGAATGGGATTACCAGTGCAGGCCGCCAGCCTGGTGTGTTTTGAAAAAGTAGGATATAAGAATGATGGATAGGACAAGTTCCAACCTGTGATGCACTCCCGGGCTTCGGGTTTACAGTCCATCTAACATTTTAAGCATTTGCACGACTCGAACTGTATGAGAGGTAAAGAATGAGATCAAGTTACGGGAAGGGTTAAAGGTGAGAATATGGCCTTGGCTTTATAGGAGTGTAACTCGGTGGACAGTAATAAAAGAATTTGAGTTGTGGGAAAGAGTGAAGTTGAAGCGTAGCTCAGAGCAGGCATTCCTGTGAACTAGAAGGGTGGGAGTGCCCGGACAGGGAAGAGATGACAGCCACCCATCTACTTATACTCGACCATAATATCATGAGCTTGATATGCACGCTGGCACTACACTACTAAGCGGTCTAGGTGACCAAATATAGAAGGGCCAAGGTGAGAATACTAGGCGTTACAGGAACTATGGGGCAGCTGTGTGGGGTTGTTCATGTGTCTAGTTAACCACAGCCACACGGCAACCCTCCATGCAAATTAAAAGTAGGAGACTGGGAAAGGTTCGGTGGGATGTGGAGCCACCCATATGCACGAGGTCACTTATACTAGTGCTGTTTGTGTTTCAACTTTTGTGACGAATCTGAGAAATATAGGAAAGTATCGAATAAAGGGGGCGAAGAGTGGAGTTTAGTAGATTCATAAGACGAGGTACGGGGACTGTAAGAAGACTGGAGTAACGATGGTTTGCGGCGGCCATGTGTACAGGTTTAGAGTAGGAGTGAGAAGTGGTTTGGCCAGGATGGCAACCGCCTATCTGCACCTGGTCACCTATTCTACAGCTTCGTTTACGCCTTGGCTTTGTTGAGGATGTAGGACGATAAGGGTGAGAGTAGTTTATGAATTGCGGTTTATCGCGAATGTCGCATGATCGGAAGTAATGTGGAATCAATGGCATAGTAACTTGCTACTGGCATAGAACTGTCCTGTTGTCGAGCGGACAGCAATAAAGTGAGGACATCTGGGGTAGGGTCCATGCGTTAGTAACCCGCAAATCCGTTTTCGTATGCCAATTCTTCCGACATGATTTGTCCCAATAGTATATTTAACGGTAAGTAAGGTATATATCTCTCTGCGGAAGGCTTCGGGTAACTTGCCTTCTCACAGCTTGCATCGTAACCGTTTCCACAGATGGGCGTATACGTTCAGGTAGAAACTTATGCGGGTTTGGGTTCTAGGTCTTTTGAGTCTTAGTACATTATAGCTGTTTCGAGTAACGTATGTCAGATATTTCTTGAACTCCACATCTAAATTAGCAGCGTGGACTCGTTTGTGTATTATATCGAATAGGAGAAGGACGTTAAGTTTTATTCTTCTCAGCCATACCGGGTCACGGCGCACGGCCTTGCTGCGTTGTGCGTATGACAACTGCGAAGTTGAGCGCAGTAGGCGCTTAGTAAAACACCTTTGCAACCTTTCCATTTGCTGACGGTCGCTCTTCCTTGCGCTTCTGTAGATCAGCGCACAATAATCAAACAGTGGTCGCTTTGTTAGTGTGTATAGAGGAACCATCGCTTCCCGCGTCGTAAGTGTTTAGAAGAGTAGGCCTATGCGATGGCGGGCTTGCGCTACCGCACTTGTGGTATGCTCAGCAAAGTTTAACGAGCCAGAGTAATGCAGGCCTAAGTCTTTTATGGTATTACTGCAGGTTAGCACCTTTCAACAAAGAGTAAGGGTCCTTGGGTTATTGTGCAGCGAAACCGAAGGGCAGTACACTTCTCCGGTGAAAACGTCATGTCTAATGGGTGCACCATAGTTCCAATGCCTTCAGATCGGTTGCAATTGTGTGAATGATAGAGCTCGTATCTGTACTATACTAATGTCGTCTGCAAAGATGTATGGTATACCAAAACGTATAACTTTGAATATAGCATTCATGTACAATAAGAAGAGTAGCGGGCCGATGACACTGACCTGAACTACACCACTCAGCACTGGTCTATTCTTGGAAATTTGGTCACTAACACTAAACACTTGGTTTTGGTTCGATAAATACGACCTGAACCATGCTGGTAGCTGGCCGCCGACTCCAAATGAGGCAAGCTTATCCATCAACTTGTCGTGCGCTACTCGGTCGAATACCTTCTGCATATCAAGATAAATAACCACTGCTGACATCCCTCGATCTAGGGACAAGGTAAGATTGTTAAGGAAAGCCAAGTGGCAAGTCACACAGGAACGTGCTTACAGGAATCCATGTTGGAGTCACTGAGAAGGTCATGTGCGCGTAGGAAGTCCACTACTTTTGGGGCAATTATTCTCTCCATCGTTCTGCAAATGATGGAGGTGTGGCTAATGGGCCGGTAGTTCCCGATGTCATGTCTGGGCCCTCCTTTATGACGTAGTATAACCGTAACTGTCTGTCACTGTGTATTTGCTTACCCAGCCTTCATCGATAGACAGGACAGGTTAAGCAGGAGAAGCGAGATATCTGGGCCACCAACTTTAGTACAATAGAGGAGAGGCCATCGGGACTTTCATAGTTTGACTGCTTAACAGTCGCTAATTGCTTTCCTATATCACGGAGTGAAAAATCAACGGCAGATAGTTGTGTGTGTTAACGATCACAGTAGTTATGTAGGGCAGGTGCATTTAGAGTTGACCAGACCTGTTGTTGGGACAGGTTCGCTGTTTGCATACTTTTGGAAGCATTGGTGGATTTAGACAAACGACAGTTGCGAGTGGTTAATTATTACTGGTGACGAGCAGGAGGAAAGGCCTGAGAGGACTTAGAGATTTTTAAATGGAATTTGGTCTCAGAAGCCTCAATATGTGGACTTAATCAGTTATCTCTATCTTTACTTTGAGTAAACACCACTTAGGATTACACATACTCTGGCAACTGAAACTGATGCTTTAGAGCTGTTTTTACCTTATGACTAGTTCCTCGACGGAATTTTTATCGGTTACTTAGTTTACTAGCACCGGGTACATTTGGTATGGTCTGTTTGCATCAGTTGAATTTCAGGGCATATCATTTTAGCACTCTGGCCAAAAGTATCCGGAACCGAACTGGTCGAAACAGTACATAAATAAACGGGTATAGTTCCCGACGAGTGGGATACGTTCCCTTTTGTAGAAGATTCATTACAGCGAATTTCGTTAATATTTCATAAATAAATTCCATTCAATGTGGAAGAGTTATGCAACGTTTTGTTGCGTATATACTATATAACATCATTGGACAGTTCATATTGTCATGTGTTGTTCGGGCCCGATTCCATGAGCGCGCTCCTGGATTGTTGAAGGTGGAAAAGCTTGAGCACATTTGGCATGGAAATAAACATTTTTAAATTGGTTTTAAGATGGACAGGTTTTCGCAGCTCTTTAGTTGCAACGGGAGTTTATTCCACAAGAAGAATTCCACCAAGAAAAATGGTAATCGCATATTTTCTTAATTCTCTGTAACGACAGGAGACAATTCCCATTACGAGTGGGATAGGTCGAGCCATTATGTAATGCGCCAGTCGTACTGGTTGAGCAAACGCGCGAGTATATTATGCTATGGAGGAAAGTTTCATTTTTAACCGTCGGGATGGAGGTGAGAACATAAGTAAGGGATAATGAACGCTCATGAGCTTTTTGGTAAATGAGCACTGGACGTTTCCCAAAGCAATTGTATCTGGTTAACTTAAGTGTCTATGCATGATGGTGCAGTACTCTAGAGTAGGTCGCGCAACGAGTTTGAGTGATTCAAACCATGTTTGGGATAGGGAAAATGACCTAACGATGCAGCTTGTTAGTTACTTCGTTTTCGCTACTTGCTGTAGGGTGTGTTCGGAGAAGTTGAAGCTGCTTGAATATTGAACTCCTAGATCTCAAAGGGAATACGCGGTTGGGATGGGGTGCCAGTGAGAGTGATGGATCCTTTTGGCATACTGCATCACTGGT